GTCATTCCTTCCATCACCACTCAGTTTGACATCTTGTCCAGATTTTTGATCCCATAGCTCCTGCTTATGCTGCTCCCAAAACTCATTCACAGCAGGGGCAATGTCCAGACTCTGGTATTGACAAAACAGTGTTTTAGAAAAATACTGTATATTGCAGAATCTGAACATCAACCCCACTTTTGTGAATGAGTTGCCAGACAACAATAATGCAGATGCGAGCATGAGATTGCCCGCTCTGATTTTCTCGCAGGTTGGTTGCGCTGCCCATCTTCCTCCCCGATGACCAGCACTGCACTGCCAGGATACAACAAGACAAGTACCAAGATATCGTCTTTGATACTCAAGCGAACGACCACATCCCTGCCGTTTACAGATACTCCCATGCAATTCTTTTAGTAATGACACGAGAGTATCTGTAAACACAATACACTTCTCCATCTGGACAGCTTTGTCAGGGGTCACTCCCTGTACTGAAGAGGTGTATCCAGTGCTATCAGATTCCCCATTACCAGTCAGCTGTTGTTCATGCTCACCAATATCGTCATGGCCACCTAGGTTGGTGTTAAATACTTCTTCCTCGATGGATGTCTCAGCCAGAGGCAATCTAAATTAAAATATACATAGAAAATTAATGGTACATGTATATCCCAATGAATACAGTATATAATCCTTTATATATACAGTATGTACAGTATATGAAAGTTGTCTGTAGTGTCTGAAATACTGTACTTTTTTTCACAAGCTTTTTCTCTCATTTGTACTTATGTCAAATTATACAACTTTAAAAGTGATAACATACTCATAATTTTCATTAATGGGCAATAAGGATGTTGCTGTCAGAGTTGTCTCAAGACTGCCATCATCATCGCTTCCCGAGTCTTCATCACTGGCTGTCAACGTTTCCTCAAGTGGGCTAGGAAAATATATCATACATGAGAATAATATTTCATACATGAGAATAATATTTCATACATGAGAATAATATCGCACACAGATACATGTATCAGTTAAATTTTGATCTTTATATAGAGTGTATTTCATGTGTTTACAAACCTGATATCAACAGGAACTTCTCTAATCCTCGTAGATCTTGACGACAGTGGTGAACTCTCACAAAGTAAACTCCGTCTACTTGAGCGAGCTAATGGTGACACTGGGTTTATGTCGCTAACTACAAATGAAAGAGGGTAGGCAAAAATTAAACTTTAGCATCAAAGTATATTAATTTTTAAGTCATTTTACCCGATACCCATCAAGCAGTAAACTTACCAGGCGATGGAAAGCTGCTTGTTCTGGTAAAACCAGATGCACAAGGGCGAGGTGTAGAGGTCAACACTGTAAAAATTATACAATTTAGAACATATTATAAATACAGTGTAAAGACAAAATAATAAAATGTTTGTTTACTGTGTACTGTAAATATGATTTTTCACCCTAACCATGATTTTTCACACTAAAAATCTTAGGATCCAAGTTCTTACCTGGGGAAGGTAAACTATCTCTTAAAGCTTGTCTAGTCTGTGGGCCTGAACGAGGAGTAATTGGTTGAATTTCTTGCAGACAAGCAGTCGATGAAACAGGCCCCACTTCTTCAGGATCAGTTTGGCTCTCCACACTAACACTAAAGCATCAGGGAAATATTAAAAATTTTAGATGTAAGACAATATAAAAACACAAAAATATTTTAGATACAAAGTCAAAGTTTACATTATAATTGTGTAAAATATTCTAGTATAAAAATCTTTATTATCTTACCATGAGTTCTTCGACTTTGAATTATAATATGTATCGAGCAAAACTTCAGCGGCGTCCTTGTCCGTTTTTATATTATTGGCATCTCTAAATTCTCTCCATCGTTGAAAAACACCGAATAAATAAACTTTAGAAGCATCTCTAATCTTGTAATATTCCTTTCTACTCTCCTTAGATGTGGAAGGCAGAGAGGGAGTGCGATCCGCCATTTTTAATATTGGCTATAAACAAAACGCGCGGCGCGCATAGGTTAGAAAGCCTGGGAACAACAAATTAAGTTCCGGTGGAGTCCCCAGAAAACAAACATCTCGCACATGCGCAGTACGGACTGTACCCCCTCTTTAACTAATATAACTAAGGACAAGTTTAAGTATAACTAAGGACAAGATAAAAGTGAAGCAAATTTAGCTAAATTTCAAAATTGCCTTAATGAGGTGAATTGGCATAACCTTGAAGGGTTTGATGATCCGACAAATTCTTATGCACCTTTTTTAAGTAAATACAATGATCTATATAACTCTTGTTTTCCATTGAAGAGGGTAAAAGCAAAAAAATTTAATCTTCAAAAACCGTGGTTATCAAAGGATCTCCTTAAATCAATAAAGCGGAAAAATAAAACACACCAATGAAGCCTGTTATAAAAAATACAAACACAAACTAAACCACTCCATTAGAAATGCCAAGAGGTTGTATTATGAAAAGAAATTGGAGTATTTCAAATCGAATTCTGTAAGTATGTGGAAGATATTGAACGAAGCTATTAATAAGAAAAAATGTTCTGGTAAATTACCAAAATCTTTACTGTAGACAATGAAATTTTCAATTAAGATTGCTGACCAACTTTGTGATTATTTTACGAATGTTGGTCCCAGCTTAGCTAGGAAAATACCATCATCAACACTGTCCTTTCGATATTACCATTCAGGTAATTATCCTAATTCTATATTTTTTAAACTGGTGACTCTTCATAATATTGTTTTTTTCGAAATCCTTATAACATGATTTAACTTATTTCTATATTTTTTGTAAGCCAACTCATTTTTACTAGTGGGGTTGTTTCACAATTTCTTGTAAAGTTTATTTTTGCTCTTTACAGACTGTAGTATGTATTTTGTCATCCATTTTGTTGTCCAAAAATATATTTGTTATCCTTTATTTTGTCCATCGATCCATGCTGCAACTGGACCGAGTTTACAAAGAAACAAGAATTAAAGTTACCAAGAGTTATTGTGAAGCAAGACCATATACTGTCGTTTTGCCAGGGAATTGAAAATTTTCAACTATGGCAAAAGATACAACATCGGGCTCCGGTGTTTTAGACAACATTTTGTTGTCAACCAAGTGTGACCTCACACAAATAACCTCAGAAACAGAGGATTTAATGATGCATGAAAATTCCCTGCTCCACGACGAGCCTGAATTGTCAATGCCAAGGGCAAAATAGACGGCGAGAGTCACCTCATTGGCGTCAGGAGTAGTGATGCTACTGCCAATTTCGGGCCAAGAAATGTCAGTTCACCCAAATTAAATTCGGATAACCAGAAAATCGATCTGTTAATGAATGACATAACACCTGTAGTAACGACCTTAAATAAGGCCTATGAAGATTCGCTCCTTCATGAGTCTGATGAGGACATCAACAACAGTGAAGTTAGTCCTCCTAAGCAAATAAAACTGACAACAGCTACAACTGAATCTGATTCGCCTATAGGAGTCGTTGACTCACTCGGGTCCGAGGTAAATACTGAGGAAAAGACAGGCCCAGCAATTTCAGAGAAAATCGCAAAAGCTTTGGATAGTATACAATCAGTATGGCTTATTGACTATTACAAGCAACCTTGATGAAGGGCCTGATCCCATTTGCATCCATGGCCGGGAAGGTTGGGGAAGGCAATTGACTCATCATCACCTCTTCCATCCATCTCTCTTAGCTCTTTTAGTTTTTAAGTTAAAATAAATCAAACATTTTTACTTGCTTGAAAACAAATTATTTTTGTAGACAAGGTCATCACAAATTAGATTGCTTTTTCACAATGAAAAATTTTGGAAAAGCTAAATATTTTGATCTGAAGTTACAGACTGGCTCAACTGTTGTCAAAGGAATATGGCTTCAGCCTGAAAAGAGGAAGCAACTTCATGACATGATGAAAAGCCAGAAACCAATTACCTTGACAAATGAGATATCAAAGAAATTTGACATAACTAATGTTGTCGATGTTTGACATAACAAATCGATATTGAGAACTTGACTGTCAAACCATCTGCAATGAATACCATCATGCCGTGCCAGCTTGTTAATGTTAAAGCATTTGTATGGCAAGTAGAAGGAGCTAAAGTGGCACCAAAATTGTCTGAAGAAAAAAGCAGTGTTGGTAGACTCGTTTAGTTGTTTGAAAATAGTTTTATGGGAGAACTTCATAGACAGCATTGAACAGGACCAAACCTATCTCTTTAGAAATCTGTGTTTGAATAAATATCAATACAGCAGTGAAATATATGTAAACACAACAGTGTATTTCAGAACCATCCTCAGAGATACGAAAAATTAGTTTCATATTAATCTGACACTGCAATCGAGCAACAAAAAATTTGTTGGGTCGAGCAGGATTTGAACTCGCATCTTTGGGTATCTAGACTGCCACTCTACCTATTGAGCGACATTGTTGTGGATTATTTTGATATCCTGGAAGACATTTGCCAACGAATTTTTCGTTGCTCGATTGCAGTGCCAGATTAATATGAAACCAGTTTTTTGTATCTCTGAGGATGGTTCTGAAATAGAATTGAAACACTGTGCATCCTCTAAGACAAGCGTTAAGTCGTCACGAAAATATTTCATGCACTTAAATTGGATAAACTCACTACCAATCCCTGTTGACTCGATAGCTCAATAGGTAGAGTGGTGGTCTAGATACCTGAAGATGCGAGTTAAAATCCCGCTTGAGCCAACAAATTTTTTGTTGCTCAATTGCAGTGTCAGATTAATATGAAACAACAATGTATGGTATGTACATATTGCCTGCACTTCAATTTCATTTATCACTCATGGAAGAATCGGCAACTCAGCTTACATCTTTTCCCAAATCCGAATACCTGCAGAAATAATTGGCATCTCTAACCTGACCAATCACCACACATACAAAGCCTGCAATAAATGTTTGAAAGGGAAAGGGAACTTCGGAAAGTGTCCCAGCTGAAATTAATGCAAAAGCTGGTAAATGCCAACAGCAGGAGTGGAAAAAATATTTTGCTTTCTGGGACCGCAAGAAAACATTGAAACTTTTCTGCACATAATCATGTATCTTGACACTTGGACTGTAACTGTGTGGTGTTGTCAAACTGAATTTTGAATTTGAGATGTCTGGAATGGCCTGCGATTTCACAAATATGTCCAAAGTTTGTGTGGTTAGGGAAGCCTCACCTATCGATTTTGTCAATGAGAAACGTCAAGGAGACCCCCGCCACCACCTAGAAATGTTACACATAGTTACTGATATTTTCTTATAGTACACATAAGGTAGTTTTCTACTATTTTCTACGGTCGGCTATTGGCAATGCTGACATATGTTTTTTATTAGAACTGTCGAAGCCGAGAAAATTACATCGAAGGAAGAAGTGAGCGAGATCGATCAATGGAGCAATGAAATAGAAAAGCATATAGAAGAAGCAGACCAAACAATAGGGCTTCTCGAACAGTGGTTAAACGATACACAAGTCAAACGTGAAGATCTACAATGACAAGAGCGTATGAATTTCGAGCTTAAACTCGAAGAAGCAGAACACAAGAAAGTGGAAGCACCATCGAGTGAGATATCTTCAAGCGCAAGTGGAAACATCGAAGCCAGGTTACCCAAGCTTACAATCACAAAATTTGATGGAACGTTTGCAGATTGGCCTCGATTTTGGGGACAATATTCTGAAACAATCGATAAATCAGGTATGCTTCCTGTCACTAAATTTTCTTATCTTAGAGAATTATTATGCGAGAAAGCTAAGAAAGCAATTGAAGCATTGCCATTTTCTGCCGAAGGGTACAATAGGGCCATAGCCATTTTGAAAGACAGATTTGGCAAAGAAAGCGAGATAGTAAAAACATATGTCAAGGAGATTCTCGAACTTCCACATACGGCAACATCAAATCCTAAAAGGATACATGAATTTTATGAAAAGTTATCATATTGTGTACAGTCGCTTGAGACATTGAACAAATTGGAAGCTGTGAATGGAACTGTTGCCATGACATTGGACAAATTGCCAAACATACAGGGTGATTTAGTACGGAACGACTATGGGACTATATTCAACTAACCGAAGCATTGCAACATTGGACTCAAAGGAATCCAGTCGAAGCACAGAAACCAGATGATGGGAGGAAGAAACAAGAGTGGCGACAAGGCGGTTATCAGTTCTCAACGCAACAGAAGTCATATCAGATAAGTAAAAGTTCTCGAAAGTGTGTATATTGTAGTTCTGAGAGTCATAGATCTGCTGAGTGTGACACAATTTTGACATTCGAGGACAGGAAAAGGTTTCTAGCTACAAAACGTCTGTGCTTTAACTGCACAGGGCCCTCTCATAGGGCAGCTGAGTGTAAGAGTGTCTCGAAGTGTCGATTTTGCAATAAACGTCATCATACGTCAATTTGTGATGCACCGAAAGCAGACAAGCATGAGATAGCGAAAACAGCTCATACCGGGGGGATAATGAACTTATTTATCCAGTGGTGATGGTTGAGGTAGACAGGATTAAGACACATGCACTGCTCGATACTGGAGCTGGAAGCTCCTATGCTTCCAGTAGTCTAACCAATGCACTGAAGAGAAAACCAAAAGCCGTCAAAACAAAACGAATTGAAATGATGTTAAGATCCACCACCACCAGAGTAGAAATTTATGCAGCCAGCATAAAATCCCTAGATCAGAAATTTGAGCTTGAAATTGAAATGTCAAAAGTCGATAAACCTGAGCTAATGAAACTCAACAACCCAAATTATGCCCATCTGGTAGAGAGATACAAACATTTGAACGGTGCAAAATTCGAAGATCCTGACACCCGTACACAAATACCTATACACCTTGTGCTTGGGGCTAGCGATTATGCCAAAATTAAAACCACTATGGCTCAAAAGGTGGGGAAGCCGGGGCAGCTGGTGGCAGAGAAAACCCTCCTCGGTTGGACGGTGATGTCTCCAGGGAAGGAGGGTCCCATCCTGTTAACTCAATCCACTACTATAGATTGTGAGCAGTTATGTGCATTAGATGTCCTCGGACTTCTGGACAGAAATGAAAATGGTCAGAAAACTGTGTATGAGGAATTTGAAGAGCAGCTTAGTAGAGATCAAGCGGGCTGGTATGAGACATCATTAACATGGAAAGGGAATTATCCCCCACTGCCAACTTATGAGAACAGTAGCAAGCGTCGCCTAGAGCAGTTGCTTAAGCAACTTTAACGGAACGGACAGTACAAACAGTATAATGACATTATACAACAACAGTTAAATCAGGGAGTAATTGAGCTGGCACTTACCACTAAAACAGCAAAAGAATTTTACATCCCCCGCAAAGGCATAGAAAGGAAGCAAGCTGAAACCACTAAGTTGAGAGTGGTCTATGATGCGTCTGCGAAAGAGAGCAAATCCCAACCATCCCTCAGTGATTGTCTCCACCCAGGCCCCCCTCTCCAGAACCTGTTATGGGACGTCCTTGTTAGATCTAGATTTCACCCAATTCTGTTAACAGGTGATTGGAAACAGGCTTTTCTGCAAATCAGAATAAAGGCCGAAGATCGAGATTCATTGCGATTTCACTCGAAAGAGACTGGGAACGGTGCAATACAAATCTACCGTTTTACTCAAGCCCTGTTTGGACTGACTTGCTTCCCATTCCTTCTCAGGGGAATCCTTAAACACCATCTGGATGCTTGGGAAGATCGCTATCCCGAGATAGTGAAACAATTATGTGAAGGGTTGTATGTTGATGATTTGATTACGGGGGGTACCACAGTCGCAGAAATCCAGACCCAGAAGGAGAGACTAAGAGAAGCATCTTGTCAAAATTAGCACAAATCTACGACCCCCTGGGCTTGGCTTCACCAACCATACTGACCGGAAAACTTGTTTATCGGAGTTTGTGTGACAGTAAAATTCCATGGGACACAGACCTACCAGAGCCACTACGAAAGAAATGGAAGGAATGGAACAAAATGCTCGAGTCCTATACAATCCCTCGGTCCTTAGCCTCGTACCATCAACCAATTCAAGGGATCACCTTGCATGGATTCGGAGACGCGAGCTCAAACGGCATTTGTGCAGTTGTCTATGCAGTAGTCAAACAAGAGGATGGAGAGTTACCCAGGGATTGGTATGTTCGAAGTCACGGATAGCGAAGCGGAATTTGACCATTCCACGTCTAGAGCTCATATCGGGACACATGACTGTAAACCTACAATCCTGGCAAAAATTATGTGGACACCTAACTGTTTTATCGCCAATAATGGCATTATTAACATTGAGACGTTATTTCATGAAATTTGCCGCCCCCCTGGCCCCTGTTTAATGTTGTTTGTCGCATTTAAATTTTAAAAGTATGTCTAGATGATTTGCCAACATTGAATTGGGGGTAGGAGGGGGAGAATTTTTTGAGTGAGGTAAATTCTGTAGAAATACATATAGTTTTGTTTGACGCACGCGCTGTCCACGATAATTTTTGCCAGGATTGTAGCCACAAATGTTCAACAAGCTCTCACTACTCATCCAGCAACTGTTCATTGTTGGCTCGATTCATCCGTAGCTCTGTATTGGATCAATGATCAAGGCGAATACAGACAATTTGTGGCAAACAGAGTACAAAAGATTCGTCAGCAGTTCCGACAGTGGAAAACCCAGCCGACATCGGAAGTCGGGGAGGAAAGGTCTCCGGGAACACGTTATGGAAAGAGGGTCCATCATGGTTAAGTAATCCTGCAGAATGGCCAGTTCAACGAGTTCTGGAACCGACACCAGATAGCAAATCAGAAGCAAAAGTGATTAAAGAAATCTTCAAAGCAGCACACATTGAAGAAGACATCCTCGATCCACTACTAGATAAATATCCCTTACCGAAAGTGCTACAAATCTGAGCATGGGTTCGACGGTTCATTCTGAATTGTAAATGACAATCTGCAGAAAGAGAGATCGGTCCCATCAACAGTCGTGAGGTTCAACATCAACAAGAATGGTGGATACAACGGGCCCAAGACGCAGTCAAGCATGATGCATGATATTTAGCCGACCGAGAGCGATTAAACCTACAGGAGAACAACTCGGAATTCTGGAGTGTAGAGGCAGAATTATCGGAGAATATCCCATCTACAGGATGTATAAAAAAAACTGAACATATTTGAAATTGCTCTCAATTTTGCAAAACACCTATTTGTATCTGGGTTTTTTATATATATAGCTTCCTTGGGTACTTACAATGTAGAATAATGAAAAAAATTTCTTGAACTCAAATTTTGTAAACCAGGGAGGTGTGTCTTTTCCAACGAACTAAAAATGGCTCGCGCACAAAATTTAAAAGCTGTAATCATCATATTTTGAGTTAATAGATGGAAAATTTGTCGGGTTTTTAATTACTGTACAAAATCTCAGACAATTTGGTTTAGTTTAAGCCCTTTAACTATTCATGCAAACTTACAATTTTCCTAAAAATCAGCTATTTGCATGCTTAATTAATGCCTTTGCCTAATTTTCATTTGTTAGCAATATGCAAATTAGGTAAAGGCATTAATTAAGCATGCGAAATGCTGATTTTTTAGAATAAAATGAATAGTTAGGGGGCTTAAACTAAACCAAATTGTCTGAGATTTTGTACAGTAATTAAAAACCCGACAAATTTTCCATCTATTAACTCAAAATATGATTACAGCTTTTAAATTTTGTGCACGAGCCATTTTTAGTTCGTTGGAAAAGACACACCCCCTGGTTCACAAAATTTGAGTTCAAGAAATATTTTTGATTATTTTGTATTATAAGTACCCAAAGAAGCTATATATATAAAAAACGGATACAAATAGGTGTTTTGCAAAATTGAGAGCAATTTCAAATCTGTTCAGTTTTTTTTATACACCCTGTATATACCAGACTTCCATCCTTTCACATCATCTTTAGTTTGTGAAGCACACCTATCAACTCTACAAGGGGGAGTCAGTATAACCATGGCGAAAGTATGTGAACATTACTAGGTTCCTCAGCTTCGCCGATTAGTCAAGAGCATCAGATCACACTGCAACGGTTGCAAGAGATTCCGGGCCAAAGCCTATCAAATCCCGCCCCCCCCCCCGGAAATTTACCAACTACGAGAACACAAGGCGCAGTACCATTCGAAGTGTTTGGGGTGGACTTTACTGGACCTATCAAGTACGAAACAAAGTCGAAGAAGGAAGCTAAGTCATATCTTGTGCTTTATACTTGTAGCCTTACGAGAGCCATCCACCTTGATATCGTGAGATCGTTGGATACGAAAGAGTTCATCATGAGCCTCAAAAAGTTAATTGCGAGGAGAGGAAGACCAAAGTTAATCTATTCTGATAATGCAATGACATTTAAAGCTGCCACAAAATGGATTCAACTAGTAAGACAAGATGAGAAACTAAACAGTCTCTTAGCAAACATGTCGATCGAATGGCGTTTCAACTTAAGTCAGGCCCCATGGTGGGGAGGACAATTTGAACGTTTAATTGGGTTATTTAAGAGTTCATTCTATAAGTCAATCAGCAATGGTGTCTTAAAGTGGTTGGAACTCGAAGAAGTCATGTTAGATATCGAAATAGCGAAGAATAATCGCCCCCTGTGTTACTTAGAGGATGATGTGCAGTTACCTGTGCTCACACCCAATGCTATGCTCCACACCCAACCCACCTACATTCCCAAACTGGAAAAGCACCACATCGAAGAGGAAGATCTCAGAAAGCGAGCTAAACATCTGTTAAAATGCAAACAAGTGATGTGGAATCGGTGGACCAGAGAATATGTGCGTAGTCTTCGTGAGCAACATCGAATGACTAGACCAAAATCAATGCAACATCCCTAAGTTGGAGAGATCGTGATTGTAAAGGAAGATCAAAAACCAAGAAATACCTGGAAACTTGCCATAGTTAAGCATCTCATCACAGGTAGAGATGGTATAATACAGGCAGCTAAGCTTAAAACTGCTGGTGGTAATAATTACCTGGAACGCGCGATACAACACTTGTTGCCGTTAGAGTTACAATGCGATAAAGAGATTACACAACTCGTCTAGATCCAGATGCACAAGAGTTCACACCCAGACAGAAGCGAAATGCTGCAGCAGCAGCCACGTTACACATAAGAGACATTGCAGAGGATGAACAGGAACTTTAATTAAAGATTGTAGAGACTTGCTACGTATGTGAACATTTATTATAAACATTTATATTATTGATTAATTTACTCAGTTACCCAGTTCGTATTGTGACATGTAAACTCTCTGAGTATATATGGTGGAGTGTTTAGGAAACTGGAAAACGGAATTACGGAAACTGGAAACGGAATTACGGAGCTTTACAAAGCCAAGGCGAACATTGACATTTTTTGTGATGGGTCATGTGATTAACAAGCAGGCGAGACTATAAACCAGCAAGAGAGAAACAGTGAGAATTCAGTGAGAGAGATTTGTATTTTATTATTAGTAAAGATATTATTTTGTTATCGTGATTTGCCCTGGATACTTCTCAGGAGGCGAGAATTCAGGACATTATTATTTTAAATACAATTCAATTCTAATATTCTAATTACAAAGAATTGTTAACCTATTTAAATTTTTTTATGTTCTACACTGTTTGCTCACCATGATAAACTTATTAGTAATTACATGAAAACACAATTCTTGGCTTGATGACTCTACCATGTCTAGTTACATATGATCCTGTTTTTGTTTGACTAGATATTGTGGGTGTAGTATCATTGGAACTGTCTGTTAATTTAATTTGCAATGGCTGTGGTGGTGCATTGCTTTTATGTATAAGTGACATACACGACTTACCTGTGTTATGTACTATTTAAAGCATACGTAGGAGCGTTTTATCACATATAAAACACGACGCGTAGCGGAGTGTTTTATGTGATAAAACATGACTACAAGTGCTTTAAATGGCTTAAAAAACGACTCATCTTATACGAGTTCATTGGCGAAGTAATTTTTAAAATAAACTTTGTCTAAACCGAGAAAATCAAGGCTAAAGTTAACTCAATTCGATCCGCCAATATTAATTTCCGACGTATACGACGGGAAGATTAAATATTAAAGAACTTCGCGAGTATTTGCAGTAGACATACGAAAATACCACCAAAAAATTCCGCTTGATCGATACTATATATTCAGAAATATTCATATAATTTTATTGTTTCTCGCTCAATTTCAAGCGAATTTCTTACCTTGAAATGATCAATGCGGTGAAATTTATGCAAATGACACATTATCAATTTTGCTGTTGCATTTTTTGAATGTTCCGCCTGATTCAAATGCTCGTCTTTTTGCTTCTTTTCAACGTATAATAATAACAAATATACCAAAAGAATCGCCATCTTCCATTCTATAGCTCGGAGCAGTCTCGGGAAATTGCAAAATAATCTAAGCCTATTATGGCAATTCTCGTGATCGGAAAGTGTTCGGCCAACTTCGGACACCAAATTCTTGGTAAAGCATTACAGTTTCCTGGTAAAAGACTGCAGGAATCACTTCCGGAGTGTTTGTTTACCCTAGATACGGATTTTGATTGGCTTAGGCAGAAAAACAAATCTTTTAGAGCAATTTTCCTGTATCGCGCACAGGAACGCACGAGCGTTGAAATGTATTGTGTTGTAGTTTTGTTTGAATCGCATTCTGAAGACGTTTTTGGCTTTATTTTGCAAACTGATAGTGCTCGTAATGATGGAATGTCTTCGTATGAAGACAAGTATCTCAACCTGGCATTAGGAGTCGTGTCTGGAGTTTCAAGGCAAGTATTTGTATAATTTCTAGACAATTTCAATGTTTTGCCGTTGCCATGGCGTTGTAAATT